AACAGTTATAAAATTTGTCTGCAATTGTATTTTTTTTAAGAGTCGGTTTTATGCTCTTTCCTCAACGAAATACATAAACCTACAAAACAAACATCCTTCAATAATCACTCTCACTTTCCTTTTGAGGTTTGGTTACACATCATCGTTAAACGACCAGTACCTCCACATTTTTAGGCCGTTAACGTGGTGGCTGAATCGGTGCGCCGCGCAGGTCCATATGCACTTGCCTCAGAGCCTTCCCAGAGGGGGCCTAAGACCCCCTCTGCTGGGGTACTGGTGGTGTTTAAGACTCTTTGGTGAAGATTAGATCCTTGGTTGGCAATTTGGCGTGTGGCAAGCAGCCGGAATTTTATTTTTCTTTTTTTCTTTTTTTCTTTTTTTCTTTTTTTCTTTGTTTCTTTTTTTTTAAGGGGCCATGCTAATCAATCTTCTCTGTATCGTTCCAATTTTAACGGATGTCCCGAAGGACAGTAGCCGGAAATTTCTATGTAACGTTGTGGACGAATTTTATGTTTAGCAGGCAGAATTGTCTCCCAGAATTTTCGATGTAAAGTTCTGGATGCATTTATTTTCTGTCATTGGTGTTGTAGTGAGCTGGCAGAATCGTCTCCTGAGGACTTGTTTATCACTCATTTATGGAGCTGGATGAAATTGCGGTCAGATGCATGCAGGTCGGGCCAGAAATGCAGTCAGATACAATTGAGATTTAGAGCTAGCGTGTAGTACGCCCTAAATAAAATCAGAGTTCTTATCTTGCAGTCTGTTATACTGAGCTTCGATTTCTTTTGTTTTTTTTTTCAGCCATCCCGGATGAAAAATTGGAGTCCGTTTTTTCTTTTCTTTTCTTTTCTTTTCTTTTTAAGTTTTTATTGTCTCGAATCTTGATTTATAACTTTGTAACTTTGTATCCCTTAATGAATGATTTTTTTTTTCCAGATTTTGTCATTTATCATTTCGTTCATTCCAAAGTTCACTGGGAGCTTTGACAAGTACAATTGGTGGTGTCACTGTTATGTACATGCATTTATTTTCTTATTCAGGTAACAAAAGGTACCTTGTGCCTTTTTTTTTTTTTTTTTTAGTGCTCTTAGTTTAGGTTTAGGAATGACTTTGTATTTTGTATACCGTGTTTGTATGGTGGCGCGATGTAATACGTGAATCCACCTATGTATAACAGTATGACTTTTTTTAATTTCTTTTTAGAAGTTTTACCTATGGCCTTCCCTCCTGGTTTAAAACACTGCAAAGTTGTAAACTCGAGAGTTTTTCAGAATCAGCAAGCGGCCACAGACGTTATCCCCCCCCCCTCCTTGTTCAAACTGCAAACCACAACCATATACCCAGAGTTAAGCAGCCCTGTGTGGACGTAATGAAACACTGCAAAAAATTGCACGGCTTCAAAGTCGCGAGTTTTAGAATGTGCAAAAACTGTGGTCCTTCGGAGGACATATCCGTAAAAATTGGAACGATACACAGAGAGAGAGAGAGAGAGAGAGAAGATTAGTACCATGGCACCTGCGCTTTAAAGGATGACACGCATGAATCGAGAAATGGTCCGAATTTTTTCTTGTTATTAAAAAAAAAAAAAAAAAAAAAAAAAAAAAAAAAAAAACAGAATGAGCACGTGTGCAACGGACGTTATCCCCAGTTCAAACCTCAAACGACAACCAGAAACCAAGAGTTACCCAGCCCCCGTGCCGCTGAATGGTGGGAGTGGTACACACCCATATCATGGATCATTGCTGAAGACCAGACCTGATGTCGGATCCCGAGGAATCAGATGAATGAATAATTCAGAATCACCAGGGGGGCGCTCAATTTGATCGGTGATGATACCTCAAGCCTATTCAGGTGAAGACGGGAGCTAGCTGGAGGGGGCTATTGTGCTGTGGGGGCCATTATGCTGTGTATAGCTAGCTAGGTGTGATTATAGCTGTAAGCTATATAGGACAATTTATAGGTGTGTATAGCTAGCCAGCTAGCAGGTGAACTGCTGGCCATTATGCTGTGTATAGCTAGCTAGCTAGCTAGCTGCCCTTGTGATCGAAACAGCACAAGGTGTGATTTCCACTCTTGCGCTGTTCCCATCTGGCTGCCCTCGTGATTTAACAGTTATCATTTCATCAGGTTGCCTGCTGTGGGGCAGATGCACGTGTTTTGTTTCCTTTTTCCGTTTTTTGCAGGTGAGGTGCATGAAACGGACTGAGGGGAGGTTTCTTGCAACCCAGAGTTTTTGTTTCTTTTATTGTTGTTCATGAAGTCCCTTTTTCGTTTTTCATATTAAAAAAAAACGGGCCGGGAGCGTCACCCAGCTTAGCTATGTATATTGTAAAGAATCAACAAACTGCCCTGGTGTCCCTCGCAAAAACGTAGGTGGTCCCGTTGATGGGTGAGACTCACCGGCCGAGCTTAAACCACCAGTACTTGGCCCAGCTATTGGCCGCGGAAAAAAAATAGAGTAGAAACGTTTCTAGTTGAATGAATTTGGGCGCTTCTGTAGTGGCCCGTACGTTTCCTAAAATTGTGGCGAGTTAGCGGGCACGACTCTAGGAAGTACCGCAGTGGTTTAAGCAAAGTAGACCACTGTTGGCCGCAGGAAAAAATAGAGTAGAAACGTTTCTAGTTGAATGAATTTGGCCGCTCCTGTAGTGGCCCGTACATTTCCTAAAATTGTGGCGCGTTAACGGGCACGACTCTAGGAAGTACTGCAGTGGTTTAAGCAAAGTAGACCACTATTGGCCGCGGGAAAAAATAAAGTAGAAACGTG